GAAGCCCCCGCTGCTGAAGCCCCCGCTGAAGCCCCCGCTGCTGAAGCCCCCGCTGCTGAAGCCCCCGCTGATGACGCTCCTGCCACCAAGGAACCTTCTGCTGCTGCTGCTGCTGCTACTGACGAAGCTCCCACTGTTGAAGCTACTGCTAGCGAGGAGATTCTAGCTGCTGAAGAGGCCCCAGCTGTCGAGGAGGCCCCCGCAGTTGAAGCACCTCCTGCTGAGGAGACTCCAGCCGCTGAAGAGGTCCCCGCTGTCGAGGAAGTCCCCTCTGTCGAGACAGTTCCTGCCGCCGAAGTCACCGCTGTCGAGACAGTTCCAGCTGCCGAAGCCCCTACTACTGAGGAGACCCCAGCCACTGAAGAGGCCCCTGTTGAAGTAGCTCCTGCTGCTGAGGAAGCTCTTGTCGAAGAGACACCTGCTATTGAAGAAGCCCCAGCTGCCAAAGAAGCTCTTGTTGAAGAAGTTTTCGCTGTTGAACCACCTTCTGTTGAAGCTCCCGTTATCGAAGAAGCCTCCGTTATTGAGGAGACCCCAGCCACTGAAGAGGCCTCTGTTGCTAAAGAAGCACCTATCATTGAAGAAGTTCCTATGGATGAGGTTCCAGCAGCTGAAGTAGCTCCCGTTACTGAAGATACTTCAGCTACCGAAGTTGTAGCCACCAAAGAAGACACCGCTACTGAAGAAACCCCCGTCATTGAAGAAGTTCCTATCCCTGAGGAAATTTCAACCACCAAAGAAACCCCTGTTACTGCAAAGGTTGCCACTGTTGAAGATGTCTCTGATGACGAAGAAACTCCTATTACTGAGAAGACTCCAGCCGCTGAAGAGGTTCCCATCGATGAAGCTCCAGTTGCAGAAGTCCCTGCCACTGAAGAGACTCCTGCTGTTGAAGAAGCGCATGCTACGGAAGATGCGCCAACTACTGAAGCCCCTGTTGTTCAGGAGACTCCAGCCGAGGACACTCCTACTACTGAAGAAGTTCCTCCTGCAGAAGAAACCTTAGCTACGGAGGGTAGTCCAGCCATTAAAGAGACTCCTATGCCTGGGGAATTTCCTGAGGAGGACCCCGCAACTGAAGAAGTTTGTTCTACTGAGGACATTTCGGTTACGGAAGATGTTCCTGCTACCGAAAAGGCTGCTATCCCTGAGGAAGCTCCTGTCATTGAGGAAGCTCTCGCTACTAAAGAGGCTTCGGCAGTAGAGGAGAGAGGTCCTTCAACTGTGATTGAGGAAGCACCCGCCAAAGAAGCCTCCCCCATTACTGAAGAGGCTTGGACTATTGAAGAAGCCAAGGAAATCCCTGCCACCGAAGCTTCCGCCACGACAGAAGAAGAAAAGACGAGTGTCGCGGATGCTAAGGTAGAAAGCGGAAGTGAAGCTGCACCTGTAGCCCAGTGGTCAAGCGAGGAAAATGAAGCGGAAGTGAAGTTGCGGTCTGGAGAGGCGAGCACGGATGCAGTAGGTAAGCATGCGTCCTACACTTTGCGGAAAATTGCGTCACCAAATAGAATGCACATCTTGTCCAGATGTTGATATATAGTAGCTGAATCTCAACTTTCCGAATCTCGCGCTCCTCAAGACATTGTCGATACGTCCTCGCCTGATGATGCCCCGACCGTCGAAGATACAAGCGACGACGCTGACGCCCACGATACCATAGCTGCAGCAGCAGCAGCAGAAGAAGAAGAAGATGATGACTCTATACCTGTTGAGGAAAGTTCAGACGACGATGATGCATCTGTGGATGACTGGATTGCTGATGGAGATGGCGGTGACTGGATTGCCGATGGCGATTCAGATGATGAGGACTCTGAGCAAGAAATGTCCGACTGGGAACAGGATGACGACTCGTCACAATGTGATGCGATCGAGACGGATGCATCTGAACATCACGATGGCGATGGTCCGAGTACTGGGAGGAGCTCGATCGAGCCGAAGGGTGAAGACAGGGATAATTTAGAATCACAGCAGCCGGCGGGGAGTGTGGAGGTGGTTGCATTCGAGGAAGACAGCACGGGTTGCACGGGCGAGGTGACAGAGTCTATTGCTGGCAAAGAAGTGGCGGTTGTAGACAAGACAGTGGCAGAGACAGAGGTCATGGCACAAGAAGGGTCGACGAGCACACACCAAGCCTATGTCACGGATGTTGTTGATGCTGAAGCCGAATCGGCAGAGGCTGGTGTGGCGGAGGCAGAAGGCAAGAGGGCCATGGGCGAGCAGGGCGATGGCAAAGGCGTCGAGGCAGAAGCAACACCAGAATGCAGTCCGGGCGGTGATGCTGTGGGCGCACTAGAGGTTACACCTGTTCTGGACCCTGGTGTCGGTGAGGGAACATGGGCACAAAGCAATATGCCTCGCGAGGCCAGCGAAGCGGGCGTGGAGTCGGGGAGGCCCGATGACGTGGGAGAGGCGAGGTTGAGGGAGACGATAGGTACGTGAACGCCCTCTGTTTGCTTTTCACATCTTTTGTGTCGTGTGCATGTACCTCCTGTTGCTTGTCGCCGCTGGTGTCCGCTCTGCACGGCTCTGCGATAGCGCGGTGCATGCAGCGCATCGGGCTAGCGCGCTGTATGTGGGAAGCTGCCATTGGCCGCCCCAGAATTTTTGCTTGGTCCACACTGCCAACACACATTCTGTCCATGCCATGCCGTCTGGCTTATCGTCACGTGCCCAAACCCCGTCCATCGACAGTCGGGCTGCGATGCATACGCGCCATTCGCCGACAGTCACCATGCGTCGTTTTGCTTTGCGCTAGCCAGCCCGGCTGTTCTTTGCCTCCCGACATCCCCGTCGCTCGACAAGCCTGTCCATCGTCTTCTTTTTTACCCATCGTCTTTCCCTCTCCAACCACCGCTGCTGGCAACCGTTTTGCTGCACGCAAGACGCCCTCGCCAACACGCTCACTGACTCGCCACAGTCGACACCGCGGCCAATCTACCCACAGTCAACGACACACCGGACGAGTCATGCGCAATCACCCCGGCTCACGCTACTAGTGAAGTGAGCCCAAATTCGGCCTCAGAAGAGGCTGGCGTACAAGCACAAAGTGATCAACACGCTATCCAAGACGACCTCCCTGACGACTCTCCTGACGAGCCACACGTTGCTGACTCCTCTCCGCAACACGCCAACCAAGATGTTGTAGCAGCAGATTCAGGAGTAGCAGAAAGCGAAACTAGCCCTGCTCCAGATTTACCAGCCACTGAGGTATCCGAAGCGGTAAGTAAAAATAAAACATCAAACATCATCTCACCCTCCTATGCTCTCCAGTATACGCACCTTCGCGAGTCCATGCTCATGAGTAACAGATTGCTACTAGCCAAGTTTCTCTAGAGGTGTCTGATCCCCCCGAAGTGGACATGAAGGCCAACGCAGTCCCAGCAGTCCCAGCACACCAAGAGAAGATAGCAGAAGAGCCAGAGTCCGACTCGGGAAGCGAACCTGAGTCTGAAGATGACGATTGGTCTGGCTCTGAAGTTTCATCTGCCCCTGCCGATGATGTCTCGCAGGTTGATGATGACGACACGCCCAGCTCTGAACCTGTACAGGACGTGAACGACAATGTCAAAGATGCCGCCCTGGAGCAAAAGGCTCCTGTAACGGCTGACAAGTCCGATGCACCATTAGAGGACCAAGCCAAGGATAACGTCGACGATGGTCCCGAAGGTTCAGGCTCCGAGGTATCAGCAACAGCCGAACCCGAAGAAGGCGAATCTGGAATCGTGGAAGACGTGAGCCAATCTGGAATCGAAGAAGACGGTTCGACTTGTGAGCCACCCCCAGAGCCTTTGCCAACTGAGGACTCCAATCCGCAAGGTTCTGAAGCTGGCTCAGAAAGTGTTTCCAAGAGCGCTGCGGATGGTCCTGCTGAAGGAGACTCCATTGTATCTTCAGAGGGCTCCGAAGGCGACGAGGAAGAGCCTGCTACAGAAGAGCCCGCTGCGGATGCAACAGTACCCGAACCACAAGGCGTGCCTGAGCCGAAAGATGTGCCTGAGCCAACGGAAGATGACGCCGAAGATGATGCTGAAGAAGATGCTGAAGAAGATGCTGAAGACGCCGAAGACGACGACTGGGATGGCTCCTCTGCAGCGAGTGAGTCTGGAAGTGAGGCTGAAGCTGACGAAGCCGAGGAGCAACCGGAGGCTGCGACTGAAGCGCCCGAAGACGAAACTACCTCAGCTGTAGATGCAGAGCCAGAAGCTGATACCGCTGCATCCGAAGCGGACGTCCAGTTGATCGAGCCGGCTGCATCTGAAGCGGAGGTCCAATTGATCGAGCCGGCTGCGGACGCAGAATCTCAAGCATCTGGCCCGGAAGTAAGCTCTACAAGTGTTGCAGAGCTGGAAGAGGCTCAGGAACCCAACACTCCTGCACCAGTTCCTGAAGAGGCTCCGGCAGAGGATACAACTCCTGATGCTGACAAGGAGGTTCTCCAGGAGCAAGTGGAGGATAGCCTGGCCGAGGATAGCTTTGTGGAGAGCGAAGATGCTGATCCAGCCCCGGCTGCTGCACCAGATGTGGAGCCTGTACCACCAACTGAAATCGGCACAGCAGAGCCGCCTTCGGACGGGTCAGATATTGCATCGGGAGAGAGTGAAGTGTCGGTAGAAGAGGATGGAGAAGTAGAGGAAGCGCCCGCAGACGACAGCCCAACCACGGAAGATGCTGCCGCGGCGGAAGACCAACCTTCGGAGGTACTGTCTGATCTGGTTGAGTCAGTCGTAGAAGAGAGTGTTGCTGAGGAACAAGCACCTCCTGCTGAAGATGCTGCTCCAGAGCCAGATGCTGAACCAATCGCCGAATCAGTTGCTGAATCAGTCGTTGAGTCGGTCGCTGAGCCAGCTGATGAGTCGGTCGCTGAGCCAGTCGATGAGCCAGTCGATGAGCCAATCGATGAGCCAGTTGATGAGTCGGTCGCTGAGCCAGTTGCTGAGCCAGTTGCTGAGCCAGTTGCTGAGCCAGTTGCTGAGTCAATCGCTGAATCAGTAGCTGAATCAGTAGCTGAACCAATCGCTGAACCAGTCGCAATTCCAGCAAAAGCTGAGCCTGAAGAAGAGTCTCTCCCAGTGTCCGAGGGAGAGGAAGAAGAATCACAGTCAGAGGCTGCAACCGAGTCTGTACTTGCAGAGGACCCTGTTCCATCAGAGGAGCCAGAAGCTGCACCGGCACCCGAGCCAGAAGCTGAGGAACCCGCGCCTGTTGAACCAGAAGCAGAGCTAGAGCCAGAGCCAGAGCCAGAACCAGTACTAGAAGCGGTGTCAGCAGCTGAGCCAGACCCTGTGCCAGCACCAGAGGATGAGCCAGACCCTGCGCCTGAGCCACCAACAGAGCCAGAACCCGAGCCACCTGTGGAGCCTGAGCCTGAGCCACCTGTGGAACCCGCACCTGAACCGCCAGCGGAGCCCGCATCAGAGCCACCAGCGGATCCTGAGCCAGAACCACCAGTGGATCCCGAGCCTGAGCCCCCAGTAGAACCTGAACCTGAACCTCCAGTGGAGGTTGTACTAGAGCCACCAATGGAACCAGAACCAGAACCACCAGTGGAGCCTGAGCCTGAACCTCCGGTGGAGCCAGCACCCGAGCCGCCCGCAGAGTCCGAACCAGAGCCTGAATCACATATTGGCACGGCGGTATTGGCAGGGGGGGCAGCATTGCTAGGGGGGGTAGCATTGGTAGGGGGGTCAGCCAATAGAGGAACCAAGGAGGATGTTGCCCCTGTAGACAGGTCCTTCGACTTCAGACAAAGTCCAACTCGACCACCTCCACCTATTCCCGTCGATGAGCACAGAGAGCGCGACATCGCAATTGACGATGACCTTTCAGGGGAGCCTCCTGTCCGTGAGAAGACCCGTCGGAGGCACTCGCATGCTCATCGTGACGGCTACCATTACTCGAGTCGTAGGCGTGACAGTGATGCTAGTTACAGGGAGCGCCCGATCATGGCTGTACCAGACCCTTCCAGCATGCCAAAGACGAAGCGTCGCGACAGCATGAACGAACGCGAAGCTGAACGGAGAAGAGAAAGATTACGTGAGGCTGAGAAAACCGGCAGCAGTAGCGATAGAGAGAAAGCCTATCCGGAGTATCGGCCCCACCGCCGCGATAGTAGGAGCGACGAGAGACACCCTAAGCGTCGCCCCGTTGAGGAGAAGGAAGATGAAGCAGAGAAACTAAGGCGACGTGAAGCTCGGAGGGCTGAAAAAGAGCGACTTGCTGCTGCGGATGCTGCTCGGCTCAAAGCTGAAGAAGAAGCTAGAAAACTGGAACATCGTGAACGACGCCGTGCAGCAAAGCGAGCAGAGGAGGAATACAACAGAGCCCAGGAGGAACGCCGAAGGCTTAAGGAAGAGAAGAGACAGGCTATTGAAGATGAGGAACGACGAATTCGACACGAAAAAAGGCGACAGCGGCATGAGGCTGAGAAAGAAGCGAAGCGTTTGGAGCTGGAGAAATTGGAACAGGCTGCACGTGATGAGGAAGAGGCCAAGAGAATTCGACGACAAAAGAGGGCGGAGCGGGAGGCAGCTAAACTAGCAGCGGCGCTTCAAGAGGATCTCATCGAGCCACCTCGCGATACTGCTCGACGTGCTGCAGAGGACTATGACGAGCCACTGCCACCCCCTCCTCTACCGCCCGTCGTTGACGAGACGCCACGTAGTGCACCACGAAGACGACTGAGCATCCGAGACACTCCGCCGGGCGGAAAGCGTGGCGGTATTTTTGGCGGCATTTTTGGTCGTTCGAAGACGGAAGCTGCTCCACCTGTGCTAAAACCCACCCGGTCAACCCGCGCGCGCGCAAACACACTAGACGGTCCCATCAAAGCTCCAAGGAGAGAATTCGAACCGGAGAGTTCTCCAAGCAGGGATATCTCATCCAACAATGAGAGCCGAGACCGAGGCGAACGCGTACATCGTAATCGACGTTATTCACACCAGCGCCGTCAATTCGGATCACCTGAAGAAGAGGCCGAATACTACAGGTGGAAAGAAGAGCGGCGTTACATGCGCCGTCCAGAACATGAAATGTCTGGTGGTAGGGAGTTTGGAGTTACTTTTGCATCGCCAATCGATGACCTTCCCCCGCCCCCGCCTAAACCTTTTGAATACGATGTCGACGATGAGGCAATCGATGATGCGGAATCACCTATCATTGAGGACGCAGCCGCAGTGGTTGGTGTAGCCTCTTACTCGGATGAGGAACGACGCGAACGTCGACGCAGTCGGCGCATGTCCAAGCCGGAGGAACGTCCCAAGGCACGCCGCATCTCCGTCACTGAGAAGGAGCGACCTTCTGGTCGTCGCCCCGAGGCTGACCGGCCACGAACTCGGGACCGCGGAGATGACCGCCCACGTGTAAAGAGAGGCGAGAACGAGCGCCGTGATAGAAGAAAGAAGGAAGAGTCGAGTGGTCTCAAGGGACTGTTTGGAGGACTCAAGAAGAGAATTGCTTAGTTCTCATTGATGAGACTGAGACGATAACGATGACACACTGACAAAGAAGACAAGAATCATTCCTCTACGAAACTGGGACAAAGGCGTTAATTGGCGAGGGGAGTTTACAGCATCTTGCTTCTCTTGTACCGACCGAAAAGGAATAACCATTTACATCAGGTGTTTTCTGTGTTTTTTTTGTTTCCCGCAGGAGTCTAGGACAGATGTTTGACGTCCGGTGTAAGAGGAAGGCGGAACATATGTAATAGTACTTTGTACCCGTTTCCTTCTTTATTTTTCTATACTTTTCTCTTCATTTTCATTTTCTTTTCTTCGTTTATATTTAGATCACCAGAGATGACTCGCAAGAGGACACAACATACAGTATAACTTTGTATTTAACGTTGGAGACGATGGAGACGAAGAGATATTCATGATAAGAATGCCAACTTATGTCGATTATCAAAAATGATGGGTCTTGAGATTGCCTGCTTGTGTGTGTGTGTGTGTGTGTGAAAACAGCTAAGTGAATGTGTACTCTACAAGCAAAAGCCATAAAGCATGGAAAAGGAAGACAAGAAGCATGCTGGCGGGTACTAGCTAGTATGAATACGAAAAAAAAAACCCCCCACGATGTCTTCATTTACAAAAGAAACCCAAGCCCTCCCCCCACCCCCTTCAACTCCAACACCTCAACCCTCCATCTCACCAAGCCCTCCCCGCATCCCTAGCAACCCACCTCCCCCTACTCTCCGGCCTCCCCGTCCCACCACTAACCCGCCTCACCCTCCCCTGCACAACCTCATACACGCCATCCGGCAAATCCGTGTGGCGCTCACTCTGCGTCCGTACCAGCCGCTCCTCACCCAGCAGCAACCCAGGATACGACCATGTCTCCTCGTGGCCCACGACCGCCGCGTCCTCGTCCATCTCGCTCCTGTCCTCAGCGTAACACTGCAGCTCAGCCTCCGACTCCGACTCCGACTCCGATTGCTGCTGTTGCTGCTGCGCCAGCAAGTCCGGGTTGATGATGCGATTGAGCATGTTGTTTGAGATGCTAATGTCCGAGGTACGCGCTGAGCGCGACATGTAGTTTGGCTGCTGGGTCGGTGAGTGTGGGTGGTGGTGGTGGTGGTGGTGGTGGTGGTGGGAGAGTGCGGTGTTGCTTGCGCGACTGGTGCTCCGGCTTCGGGGGATGCTGGGGGCGGGTGCAGCGTCTTCTTCTTGTTGTTGTTCGGGGTAGAAAGGGGAGGTGTGGGAGGGGAAGAGGATGGAGGAGGAGGGGCGGGCGTGCGAGGAGATGCTTGTTGTGCTTGTTGCGCTGTGTCTTTTTTGGAGTTTTTTGCGCGAAGGGGCGTCGTTGGTGTGGGTTTTTGTTAGGGTCGAGGGGCTGGGACTGTTGTGCATGTAGGGGTCAATGCTAAATTCCGACGAGATTTGGCGGCCGCGGGGTGGGTTGGGGATGAGTATTGTTTCGGGGTAGGGATTGTGGTTGTTGTGCATGTGTTTCTTTTCGTCGTATTGATAGGCAGTGCCGCCTCGGTTGCTGGACTTTCCGCTGCTTGCGGTTTCGATTAGGCGTTTGTGCCACGAGGTGTTTGCATAGTTGAAGTTGAGACGTTTTTCAGGGTCTTGCTTTCCGAACCAGAGAGGTTCATCTTTTGAGATTTTGACGGCATTGAGCCATGCGTTACCTGGGGCGTCGTCTGCGATTTGGAAAATTACATCAACTTCTTCTAGAGAGCGGAACGCGGTTTCTGGGTAGAAAAAATATACGAGAGGGATAATGGCAAAGTTTGTGACAGCGAAGATAATCCAAGTTCGATAGGAGATGCGCTGGAATGCTATAGGCGTGATAAAAACGATCCTATGATGGTGTTAGCCAAAGTATAAGAAAGGAACAGTAACCGAGGAACATCATACACAAAGTTGAGCAACCAGTTAGCACTTGTCGAGAGACCATTAGCTGGACCACGGATTCTTAAAGGCACAATCTCGACCTGATACAGCCATGCCATGCCCTGCCAGCCAATAGCAAAGAAAACCGAGAAGATGAACAAAAACACAGTACTAGCGATCCTTGCTTCCTGCATTCCCTTCTCGGACCACAAGTACTGCAAGATGGTGATGAGAATCATGCAAGTCGACATGCCCGTAGCACCAAACATCATCAGAGAACGACGGCCCCAGAAGCGATCGATTCCAACTACGACAACGAACGAGGCGAGAAAGTAAAGAGTTGCTGAGCAGGATGCTAGGAGCCGGGCGAGCCACCCAGTGTATGACATGCGGGTAAGGAAGATCCAAGAGAGGTATTGCAAAACCAAGTTGATGCCTGTGCCTTGCTGGAAGATTTGGACAAAGTAGGCCAATACAACGCGATGAAAGCCTCGCCGTTCTTTGTTAGAGAACATGCCTACACTCGAACCTTGTGCCATGAGCAGGATCGCATCCTTGATCTGCAGAAACTCATCTTTAGTCTCGAAGCTATCTGGATCGTCGTCATTCAGGGCGGCCAGCACAGTGAGTGCTTCTTGTTCCCGTCCAGTCAAGATCAGCCAACGAGGGGACTCGGGCAGGACGAACAGCATTGCGATAGCTGGTAGCGCAAACACAATTTGTAGAGCGATAGGAATGCGCCACGATGCTGAAGAGCTGTTGATGTAGGCGAAACCAAAGACGAGCCAGTATGACAATGCGATGCCGGCGGATACGAAGGCGCCGGCGCTGATCATGAGGATTGTTCCTTTGCGGTGGGACTTGACGCATTCTGCTTGGTATGCTGGTGCGGTGGCTGTGGTAAATCCATTGCCTACTTATGTTAGCACTCATCATCAGAAAGACAGAAAAGCTGCTTACCGAAACCAGCGACTGCGCGACCAACGATGAACTGCGGAAAGCTGTACGACGATGTCTGGATGATTTCGCCAATCACCCAGAATGTCAAGCCCAGGATGAGTGTCCGTCGACGCCCAAGCAAGTCGCCAACGAAAATAGTTGTAATGGCCGACACGATGCAGCCTAGATGCCATGTTCCAACCGTGAGGCCTGCAGAAGTCAGTCTTGTCAGGTATCGCCACATGCACGCTGAGATTTGATAAAGCTGTTCTGAGTTAGCAATTGGACGTACCAGTGACCCATGCATCGTGGAATGAAACATCATTGGCAATGTCAAGCTGTGGAAATCGAACGAGGAATTGCTGAACGGTCAAAAGACCGCCCATCACACCCTGAGCATATCCGAAGCACCTGTATCACATTAATCGACGAACCACACGCGCAATGATCCAGGAACAGCATATCGACGTACAAAAAGCAAAAACCACAAGTTACACTAATGGCGGTCGCTAGACTCTTACCCCGGAGTCCTAAGAATCGTGCCATTGCGTTTGAGGTGTTGCAACAGTGTCAATGGAGTCAAGGTGAGGACAGTCTAGTGGGCTATGAAATGTGTGGGACAACGAGCTGCGCCGCGTACGCTCGCCGGCACAGGCGTCGTGACAGAGTGGTTCTAGTATTTTCAAAGTCTTTGGAACTGGGCCATGTCGGCCAGCCGTCGCGGCTTCTGGCCATCAATGCAACGTCATGTTTCGCAGAATGGTTGCAAGCGTTCCGTCCAGCTAATGCAGGCATCCCCAGTAGCTATTCGTTCAAGGCACTAACCGCCGAGAGGATCAGGCAGTGTTCCCGCAACCCGCCACATACCCCCCCAAACTGTTCAGGAATGTAACACAAGGGTGGCTTTTGATAGAGAATCATGTTTGAACCAGAAAAAGCCTCAAAGGAAGTGCAAATACGGCTAATTGAAATACGAGATATCACTCAGCCCGCGGTCTTGGATGGGTATTCGGCATAGAAGGTTTCCTCTTACACCTACATACCGAGAGCTCTCAGCTGGGCGTGCCTTCGAACCGCAAACCTAGCACAAGTGTACCGTAGAAACCTTGTGGATGACAGATATTAGCGTAAAGCCTATCCAGCTATAGACTAGGAAGCGACTTAATAATACGCCACAACCCGCCTAATCTTGCAGCTGTCAGGTACGCGAAACCGAGTTATATTGTTAGTGGTTGCTTCAGAATATCTGACAGATGCGATCTCGATGGTTCGCTGATGTCATGGACATGCTAGCGTCGATCAAGCGACGAGATCGAGTGTTGGGGCCATGAATTCTCGGGATTGCGTATTTTGAACACAGCTTCTAGACAGCAATAACGAAAGTTGAAAATGAACTGGATGAGCACGCGTAAGTAAGACGTGTTCCAAGATAGACTCGGTTTGTTCTGCATATCTGAAAAAACAAACATACGCATGTGTACTAGAAAAAAAACCCGTGCTCGTGATAGGCTGGCAGGATGCATCGGACTCTGGCGTGTCAATCATCCCTGGCCCAATATACAAGGTAGGTGCTGGACACAATCGATGTCATGTTAGGAGATCGGCCAGATTTCGGTCAGACCGTTCGGCAGGTGTAGTTATTGGCGGGAATCCATGATCGACCAGCTACGGATATCCCTGACTGCTGACATGCGAGGGTTAGAAAAAGAAAGTGTGTCTGTGTATGGGGGCGTCTTCAGAGTGAGAGTACATAGAGTGGGGTATCGATTCGCTACTTGGCCAAAAACTTCTGAAACGCTTCCTGGTCAATCACAACATTTCCTACAGCCCGGAGCTTCTTCCTGCCCTCTTTCTGCTTTTCGAGCAGTTTGCGCCGTCTGCTAAGGTCACTTGCATGCAGCTTGGCCAACACGTCCTTGCGATAAGGCTTGATGGTAGCTCTTGCCACAATCCTTCTCCCCGCGGCCGCCTGTATGATGACCTCAAACATCTGCCGCTCGACGTGTTCCTTGAACTTCTCCACCCATACGCGTCCTACCTTGTCGACTTGTGATGTGTGCAAGACACGCGAAACGGCATCAACTGGGGAGCCGTTGACAAGGAGATTGAGCTTGGTGATCGATGACCTACGGAATCCTGCATCTTCGTAGTCCAATGATGCATAACCTTTAGTAGAGCCTTTTAGTTTGCCAAAGAAGTCATCTACCAGATGCGACAAGGGAAGGTCGTACTTCAAGATGACCTGTGTAGCCGTGAAGAAGGTAAGTTCCTTTTGCTCACCACGGTTGGCCTCGCAGAGCTTGATGACCTCACCAAGATACTCATCCGGGAGAGTGATTGTTGCAGAGACGTAAGGCTCGTGCACTTCCTGCACCTTGAAATGTGCCTGATCTTGATCGGGGAACTCGTTGGGATTGGTGATGATAGACTCCTTTCCATCCCTCCACACTACCTTGAAAGGTACCGATGGTGGCGTAATGATGATGTTCGCGCCATGCTCTTGACGGAGTCGATCCTCGAACACAGAGCAATGCAATGTTCCCAAGAAACCCAAGCGCCACCCAGCACCTAATGCATCAGACGATTCCTTCTGCAATGTGACACTGCGGTCGTTCAAGATAATTT